TCAGTAGATTCTTATCAGCGTTCCACTTAAATATGTGACAAAATCAAACAAGTTATTATAAAAACTAATCTACATAAAAGATATAAAAACCAATTTATGTTAAGCACTACATGTATTGTTGGAATAGGCTAAACGAAACATCTAGTAAATGAATCAAATCGATAGAATCAGTTCATTAAGGTAATTTAAATCATTGAATGGACTCAGCAATTTAGATAGCTGATTCGAAAGATTTAATTAAATTAGTGTAATACGAATCAGTATCCAATTTTTATCTATAGTACTATATGTCCAATAAAATAAAACAAATCAAAAGAATAAACTGCATAAAAAAATAAACAATTTAAATTAATTGATATAAAAACCAATTTCCTATACATAGTCATGCTTTTTGGAAATAACATTTGGAAAAAGTAATTCATAGAATATCACCATATACACCAGGGCTGTTCAACTGCACAGAGCCCACGGGCCAGAATTCCGGTCACTGATCACCTGGCAGGCCGCAGTTTGAAAAAGTTGAACAATAACCTCTTATGCAATAACAATTAATAGTTGAATTATTAATTATAAAACAATGGTACAGAAGGATTATAAAACAATTTGCTTACATTTTAGCAGGAAAACAGAGGCCGATCAGCCTAAATAAGAAGTTGGCGGGCCGCCAGTTGGACAGCCCTGATATACACAATAATTAATTTCAATGTTTAGAGACACAATAGTCAAGTTCTTTATTCTAATATAAAATCGCATAATGTTTAAAGACAAAAGATAGCTAGAAGATGAAAATTGCAAACTAAGTAACAATTGCTATTTTTTGTCAATAAAATCACTATAAACTATGGTTTAAAAAAAAGCATCACCTTTTATAATTGTAAAATAGAAATGTTTTGTATTTTTAACATTTGAATTCCAAATGAAAAACATTTGTTATTGCTGGCTGCAAGTATGTAGTTTCATTCATTAACTGTGTTGAACCTAAGCTAAGTACTCCTCCCCATACAAAGTCTGAGACCGCCTGGTGCTACGGAAACAAAAATGGCGCATTTTAGGGAGGGTAGCTTCGACAATAGCTTGTATGGCAAGTATACCAGATTGGCTGATTAAGCCACCAGTAGGAGACTTATTTAATTTGATTCAAGAACTTTTTTAAGGTTCGCATGGATATTTCTTTTCTATACTTAAAATGATTCTTTTTACCCAATCGGTTGCTATTTTTTAAATAGGAAGGGAAAAAAAAGAAAGAAAGAATTGAACAAATTTTGACATTAAGGTTAATTTCAGGTTTATTTTTTTGTTACTTTTTAATTTTGTGCTATTTATTATGAATGTTCATTGATTCAATTTCTAAACTTGCAAATTTTTTAAAGCAGTTAATTTCCTTTATTAGTTGAATTTCATGGTAAAAGCGAAGCGCTTAAACTTATTAACTTTAATTTTAAAGGCAGAAAAAACTTTTGTAGAAAATAGAAATAGTTCATGTTATTTATGTCGGACACATATTAAATATCTTTATTATTAATTTCTTCTTTAAACAGAAAGCAGGTTACCGTAACTAGGATAAAATCTTTAACTTTAACCATCAAAGCATCTGAAGTTATCTAAGTTTTTTTTTTAATTACGTTTTCTTATTCTTATTTTAATGTAACCTGTATGTATAGTTTCTCCCACCATTTATTAAAAAATATATTTCTTAGCAAATTTATTTTTATTTCTTCCTTTTTTCTTAATAACCAATTTACAATGTATAATAAATTTATAGATGAGTTATTTATTAATAAACCATTGAACTGCTTTAAACAATTTGATAAAATTTTGTCGAAATCATCTTACCAGCAATTCCATCAGATTTCTTTTTCCTGGTTTTTCCGGGACTGCGCAATACACCATCTTCTCCTAAACTGGCAACTTCTCTTTTTATTTTTTTAAGCGTGAAGTCTGACACTCCAGTTGCCATGCATGTTCTTAGACATGGTTGATGGAGAGGTATTTTAAGGGCTTTTTCCTTAGCTTCACTAGCAAAAAACTCAAACACATTGTGCACAATTTTACGTGCTTGTGATTTAATAACTTCACCTTTTTTAAATTTAAAAGGCATTTTTCAAAATTCAAAAAAGCAAAAAGATGAAAAATAAAAATTACTACAAAAATTTTTTTTTTAAAAACAGAAGCTTGTGAAAAAGCTAAAAGATAAAGGAATCGAGCGTTCTAAGCGATGTTTCAGGCGCGAATGCTTATTTCTCTTCACTCTAGGGTAGAATATTCACACTAGATCGAAGAAAGAGAGCCAGATTCTCTGGCCGAAACCATTCCTAAACAGTGACTCATCACCCCCACTTGAAATAGTCCTAACTTGTTACCATAGTCACCGCCACTGGTCCAGACGAATGTCTGGAGGAGTACTAATTTAAGCCAAACAATACCTGGGTGATGTCGTCTGCGTTTATATGTGAGCCCCTTAGAAACAGTCGACTGTTGATATGAAAAAATGTGTGGTACAACACCAGGCTTTAATTTCTTATAATTCACATTGTTGGTAATCTTGTATCGCATATAATTTACCATGTCCTCTTCCAACTAAAAAGAAAACCACTTAATTATTATTATTTTTTAAAAGTTAAATATAAATTTAAAAAAAAATTTGCATGTTAATAGAGTTGGAGAAAAGACTATTTAATACAAAATTTCGTATATAATTTTTTTTTAAATCGGAAATATCGATTATGCCATTTTAAAATGTTATATAACTCTTATTTATCTAAAATACAGTAAAACGCTCCTGCCTTTTTTTAAGAAAAAATTATTTACTGATTAGTTATAAAATTTTCTGTGTATGTAATTTTGTTATTCTAAAATTTTATGATACAAATTAGCACAGATATAAGAACTGTTAAAAAGTTTCACCTAAAGGTTTTATCTTGTTTTTCTTTTGCGTTTATTATCACATGTAGTTCAAAGAATTTTAAAATAAACATGATTTTTAAAATTCCATTTTTTAAAATTTAAATGTTATTAAAACTGTAAATTTTAATTTAAAATATATGTTGGTTTAATGGCAATAACTAAATCATTGCAATTAACTTTTCAAAATGTCTTATTTCATTTTTTGACTATTTCTAAACATTTTTTGAACATTTCTCATTAAAAATTTTTAAACGTGATTTTAGAAATGTTTTTTATGGTTGCACCCTCTCCCTGAGAAAATTTCAGCGGGAACTCTTTAGCAGAACAGAATAAAATAAAATGATAAATGAAAAAAAAATTTTTAAACTGCTTTCATAATGCGGACTTTTTTCAATAACTTTTGAAATTAATTGGCTTTTTTTGTTAGTACTAGTTTATTTTTACTATTAATGTAATGGAAAAAATATGACCTGCTTTGAATTTTTATGATTTGATTCTATGAATAGGAAACAGAAATGAATAAGATTTTAAATTTTATTACATAAATAAAAAATTGTATTATTTTTTTTTCTCAAGCGAATTTTTTTATTACTATTATTCACTTCTAAAATATTTTATTTAAATTTACTTTTTAGAAGAGACGTAGATAATTCTCAGCCCCTTTTTATCTTTATGTTAATTCTCAATAACGTTTTACTCCGTTTAATTGCACAAAAATAATATTAATTAATTTTTAACTCCTAAAATTTCGATCTGAATAAAGTGAATAACAAAAGTGCAGATATTTTGGATGCAGAACTTAAAGTAGAAAAAAACGAATAAATTGATAAATAAAAAGAAAACATTAATGAAACTTACTGTAAAATGATCTTCGCAACAGTACAATGGAGAAATTGCCGACAGTTTGCGACTTTCATCGCGCTTAATGGCCTTTAACCAATCTTGTCTTTTTTGTCCTTTTGGTACACTAAAAAATAGTTTATTAGGTGTGTTACATGCTGAACTATTGCAACGTGTTACAATACAAGACTTGTAGTAAACGCTTGGAGCCATTTTTGAGTTTCACTTGGCGTGGCACGTGCTTTCGCTGTAACGGAAGATGATGAATGCCGTAGTGCTCCTGAATTCTGACGTCATCGGTGGAAAACCGGCTACGTTCAAAGGGGCTCTACAGTGTTTCTCAAACTTATAACTTTTGTGTACCCTTTCTAAATTTTTCGTAACGCTGTGTACCACTGATAAAAAATTTTATGTATTTTTTACTATAAAAAATATAGCACAAAAGTTAAAAATCACAACTGGCTGTTGACACCACTAAATATTAACTGTTAACTCTGCAAAAAATAGCCAATAGAAAAATACGTAATCGTACATTTTCATTGCTAGCTTTGTTTTCCAATAAAATTTTTTGAACTTTTTGTTTGTTGCAAGATATTTCGCATAAGAACGCGTACGCCCGTACCCCTGGGGGTACACGTACCAAACTTTGGGAAACACTGCCCTATGGGTTAAGCGAGTGGTTTTAAAACAATTAGTAACTCCACAGAACTGAAATCGGTGTATATCGCCAAAAAACAGCACGAAGCTTCAGTACGAGGGAAAAAAGAACACGCAGGTTCCTTATTAAAGAGCATCATTGAAACTAAAATACAGCTCTTACACTATTGCGTTACCTGATACATTATTTGTTATAAAGTAAAGATAGAACAGCTTAGTTATATGAGCTGTTCGCTTATAACTTTTCTTTTCTACTCCACTTACAGCTCACTTCGCCTCAGCTTTTCGTTGCCATTGCAAGAAAAGAAACTTTCGTGAAAATAATCGCATTTGCGTTTTACATCCGGGAACATTTTTCGCAATTCCTTTTGATTGCCTCACTATTCGAGCACGCTCCGCTCGTTCATTGGTCCTCTGATTTTGTCTAGTTTTGCGTGCATGATGATATTCTTTTTAAAATGATACACTAAACCCAATGCATGCACAAATTAGTGTTCTAGATAATATAGAGAGATAATAAGAGCGATGATTACAGAACACTGATAGGAATAATTTCTTTTAATTTTTAAATGGGATGTATATTAAAGACCCTTGATTACCATGTTGCTTCCAGCAGCAATACAAATATCTAACTTGGTTAATGGTAGGATTTATTGCAGCATTCGCTAGACTTTTAACATCTTCTTCTTTTAAGTATTTATCTTTATGGAATCTCATAGCTTCAGCTCGAGTCATTCCATTCGAAAAATAACCATAAAATAAATTCTTAACCTGGGGGGGGAAAAAGAAGCACATTAACATATAAACCTTAAAAAATATTAGCTACAATCAATAAATAACAAGGCAGAGGCCATTAAACCGAAATTATGTAATTTAGAAAAAGAGAGACGGAGCTTTATTTTATTACCAGGGTTAAATATCCGACTCATTTTTAGGTTTATAGCTATTAACTCAGCAACCTTGTAGTTTTGAACCAAAACCAGAAGACAAGGGAACTTCTGGATAAATCTTTTTATTTTATTTTATAACCGGTATTGAACAGCCGACAGAATTCTGAGTTTGTGACTATTAATGTTCATCTCCGTAGCCTCGTTATTTTTAACCCAATCCAGAAGACAAGGGAGTTCCCGAATGAAGCACTGGGACAAACCAGTGTTCGAGAAGGATTTTTTTATGCAATTAGCCCACATTTGCTTTACATGGAGACGGAAACCACGAAAACTTCCCACAATTAGCCCGACGGCAAGGTAATNGAGGTTCAAACCTGGGTGACCCCATTTAGAGGCGAACGCTCTATCCCCTAAACCACCGTGGTCTTATCAAGCATTGAGGCAAACAAGCCCACATAGAGGACATTGTCGATGAAATTAACCGGTATTCGCGTTACACGAAGAGGAAAACCTTCCACGGTTAGCCCGCCGACATGGGGATTGTATCCAATGCTTCGTCTACGCTTGACTAGCCATCATTGGGATTCGAACCTAGATAACCTCATTGGGAGGCAAGCGCTCTTTCTCCCTTGATCAATTGCTGTTTTTTTTTTATTTTTTAAATGAGGTCCCGGGAAACAAGCAATTATTTTTCATCGTTGTACAGTTATTCACCGAAAATTTCTTACATAAATGCATGCAGGATATCACAGGTAGAAATCATATGTCACTTTCATATTTTTTACACCTTTAATATTTTAATTTCTATTTCATTTTACGTATTATTGAAGTTATACTTCTTATGCGACTTCCAACAAGGTTGCGTTAAACGTTTAACGCTACATTTTTATTATCCGGGAAATCATACGGTAGGATCCAGTTTTTCCTCATTCATTTCCATATTGTGTTGGTTCTCACTAGCATAAAAATAATAAAAGTATTGTTTTTCCATAAATATTTTTTTAGTTTGTTTGTATACACATATAATTTAATAGGGTAGTATTTTTTATTTTCAAATTTAGTGGATAACAATTGTAAAAAATGAGTGAAAACAATCTCACGGACAATGCGACGGATTTCAGGTTATGTCAAGGTACGTCTCTTGTGAATATCAATTGATTGTTTCTCTTCTGAAATTACATTATGACGCATTCACATACATTATTAATACAAATACATTTTCCAGGGCGAGACGATGAGGCAACCACAAGCACTTCCACTGGTTCAAGAGGTCCACGAGGGAAAAATGCACAATATTACCGTTATTACAAAGCACGGACGCGAGCGGAGCAGGAAAGAAGAGTCGTTGAATAGAACTAGTGATCCTTCTACGACTGCTGACTCTTCTACAATTAAAGTCGCAGGTTGCGTAGTTTAACTTCTTCCGCGCGGAGGGACTCCACGCAGTATTTTTTCTTTTTTTTTTTTTTTTNTTTTTTTTTTTTTTTTTTTTTTTTTTTTTTTTTATACACATACTTGAAGACAAACTTTGGGGCCTCTGTTGCTTTAGCGCCTTCCCTGGTTTGACTTAGATTTTATTGTTTTTATACTACGTCATCAATTGAAATTCTTTTAAGAATTCAATTGGATAGCCTCCGACTAGCTATTTATTGAAAAAAAAATTCTAAAACATAAATTACCTCATCATTAACCCTCAGCATTCTTAAAGCTTCAGCAGAAGCTGTACTGTGGGAATGACAAACATTGACTCTAATTAGACCCCTCAGAATGGGTTTTCGACGAAGGTAGGTATCTTTCTTGATGGTATCTCTTGTGACTTTTTTCACAATGATTTGAAGTTTTGCCTTGCACTCAGCACATCTTTTGCATCCAGAATACTTTTGTACTTTCAAATTTTTCTTATTTTTTCTGGAATGCTGGCATACCCAAACTTTTGAGAAACTATATCTAGATTAAATAAATAAATAAATAAAAAAAGATAAATCAGTAGCTCGAAAATTAGGGACAGCACAAAACTAACTTTTAAATTTAGTTGAAGATTTTCATCATATAGGGAGTAAACTGTTAAAAGTGATAACGTCAGTATATAATTGACGAAAATGAGCATAACATACATAATTCGTACATACATAAATAACATACATAATTCGATTATTCGATAAATAACTCACAAACATAATTCGATAAATAACATACATAATTCGATTAAAATAAATTACATAATTCGATTCAAATAACATACGTAATTTGATTAAGATCTATGGGATAATTGCAATAAAAATTTTAATTCTGAATAAATATAACATTTATGTACATTGTAATATGCAATTATGTAATTGGTAATATGCAGGATGCTGAAAGGTTGGAAACTCCCATATATTTAAAAAAAAATATATGGGAGTTTCCAACCTTTAAAAAAATATAATAGACCTGAAAAAACCTGAAAAAAATATAATAGACTTCAAAAAAAAAATTTTTTTTTCCAGAATAGGAAATAATTAAACATTTTTGTTTACATATTCACTTTTTTATTTATTATAAATTGGTGGGTATTTAAAAAAAAAAATTGAACAAGACTATTTATATGTTCAAAATATGATAGGTCTCGAAATAAATTATTTAAAACAGTTAGTTTTCTCGATTACAGCGCCATCTGCAAAACAAGATACATAAATTTGTAAGTCAAATAGGGGTATATTTTTCTGGAGAATCCAAATCTGCAATAAAAAATAGGGATTCCTATTTCAAATTTCAAAGTTGTCCCCGCCTACAAAGGTTGAGGTAGAAAAACGAATTTGGTATGTTACGACAGATTTAAAAAATATTAAATGCCTTTATTTTTACTTAATCGATTCGATACAAATTTCTCGAAATATTTGACAGTTTCCAAACTTTTTTTACACCGAGCATAAGAATTATACAAACATAGCAGAACTTGATGGCAATTTAAAAATAATGAAGTAATAGCTCTTAATTTAAAATAACAATAGCAATAACAAAAATGTACATAAACCATATGCGTTATTTTCCTTCACCTGATGTCAACAGGTTAAGTAAAATAATACTCATAGTATTAAATAAATAATACCAAGAACTTTGGACAAACAAATTTTACAGTTAAAGAATTTGCTAATTCTCATGAATCCAAATTCGTCGAAAAAAAGGTATGTTTATTCAGATAAAGTACGTTTTTGGGTCTGATTTCGTAACTTAAAACATCGTCTGCACTAATTAATTAGTATATTTGAGGTGACCCCCTCAAAGGAATTACGGTATATACCAGTAAATAATTTAATTATTATCCCTTCTTAATTTAATTTTCTGTTATGATGTTTTTGATATCGAACATTACTATTCAAAATCGAAGTTTCATGCCTTATGAAGATTTTACATGAAATTATCATATTATAGATTTTTAGATAAATATATTACAATAAAACAGAAAATAAATTGGATTTACGTTTTAATAAGATATACTAATTTGAATATTTTTGAATAGAATAATATTTGTGGACAATCTGTCAATAATTTATTATGAAACAATTGTAAGCTTCGATGAGCAAAGCGATCAGTTAGAAGAGTTTCCTTGTACAGTGCATAAATGTAATACATAAGATATTCCATAACGACCCTATTATTATCTATTTTTAAGAACGCTTGTCATAATGAAGTTACATTCAAGGTCGTAAATAAATATATATAAACGAAGGAAAAAAACGCTACAGAATCAATTCTGTGGGAAAAGGGTGAAAAGGTAAAGAATCAATCAAAAGGGTGGGACCTGTTTGATTGTCTGAGGAAACTAAGTGTTACTACTAAACACCTTTCAAAGCAACTGAGCGTCTCCGGCTAGCAAACAGGTTTTGATTCTACCAAGTTCGCCTTCAGTTGCGTGTTGTTAGATTTCGATTTCGTTTTTTCTTAAAATAAATATTAATTTGCCACCCCATATTTTCGACTCATTTAAGTTCTTTGTTGATAAGGATTTCAAAATATATATGAAGGTTGTTCACCATGGAAAATAAATATGCAAAACAAATATAAATAGATACATACAAAAATAGGGTATTTATCTGATAAGTTACAGGGCCCATGACCACCAACCCGTAGAAACAACGCCAGATTCCATTTTACACACGTCACTTGATAATGCACATAGGTGAATCAAATACGACAACATCACGATAATTTATTGTAACAAAACATGTTAAATTCACAAATATAATATCGTGATAACTACACCGTTAATTATCGAAAACGAAAATATATCGCGATCATTATCGACAACGTAACATATCAAAAATATCATGAATATTAAATACAACGATAATTATTAGATAGAATATTATAGTGAGAATCGATTGGATGGTTAGGATATAATGTATTTATGTGTCATATAATGTATTAATAAGGCTATGTATATAATGCTTTTTTTAGGTAATGGATTGTGTAATTTTAATAACGAAAATATAAACCAATGCAGAAATGATATAAGTTAGGTAAATTAGAAAAATATCGCAAAGTTTTCTTAAATATTGATAATTCTGACGTCATATTAAAATTCGTGCGGTTATCGAAGCTGGTGACCAGCTTCGATAACCGCACCGAGCTTGCTCAGTATAACCGATAAATACCTTTAATAGAAATATGCAATATGCGCATAGTAAGGTTCTAGTTTACAACATGATCACATAGATACATAAGATTAACTGATAGAATATTTATAGGATATTTATTTAGAATATTTACCTAGCAGAATAAGCAGGTGTTTTGACAATCCACGCCGTGTCCGTAGCATCAGAAAAGAACTTTTTAAAATTCTCGGCTTCCTCTCCTGATTGTAGAGCTGTTCTTAATACGATCTGGGTCGATGAAGATTTTTCGTTATCTATTACAGTAAATGGGTAATTGGCTACTATTTTGGAGAGAACGACTGTTTTAAAGTAGACTACTTCTTCCACAGCCATTGCAACGCAACTTTAATAGAACTCGTCACAAGACTAAATTGAAGGGAAAAGCTCCCATCTTATGCACCTTTTGGCGCGGGAGAGGGAATGAGCGCTTTGAAAACCGCCAAATGGTGGCGTCATACTTTATAGTGTGCAACCCTGTTTCGTTGGTGGTTTGGGGAGAGAGGAAAGCTGCAGCTTCATTTCTTATCACTGTCTCCCTCGCTTCTGCTGTGTGATAAGCCGCATTGAAAAATATTTAAAAAATAACCGAACTTATTTTGTATTCGCTTTGTAGAAATAAAACTCAAAAATTGGGTTGCTGAATTTATTACTATCGTTTCCACTTTTTTTTCTCCTAATTTCCTATTAATCCTAAAAGATTTCCCTCTTTTTGATAAAAGATTTCACATTTTAACGGCTTTTTTGTATTATGATCAAACTATTATATAATACAGTTATTTTTTAGCTGTTTTATTTTCATCATTTACAGTAATAATAGCTCCAAGGCCGTAGCCAGGATATTTTTTTCGGGGGGGGGGAGACATGGTAAGAAGCAAGAACGGTTGCAGACATGCAAAGTAGGGGAAAAACATTGTAACAAATATTGTTTATTCTGTTGTTTGCAAAAGTTAAACTAGTAATAAAAAAATATTACATAATAATTATTTTTCAATTTATATTACATAATAATTATAATCAATTTGTAAACAAAGTTTACAAAGACATGCGACGGGGATTTGAAGAAAATGCTTCGATTACTTTTTTAGGACAAACCGGAATATCCCGAAATATGCTTAATAAAGTTAGTTAATAAAAGTTTTGATTTGAAAGTTTTTGTTTTTCTTTGTACTGAGAGGCTTAAAGTTTGAATCCAGAATTTCGGGGGGGGGGGATTTGACCCGACGGTCCCCCCCCCTGGCTACTTGCCTGAATAGCTCCTTCAGTAAAATTTCCTCGTTTACAGTAAAAATAGGATAATACAGGAGCTCTTTCGTCTTCTGGGTTAGGGTCAAAATTACAGGGCTACGAAAATGAACATTGATAATCGTAAACTCAGATTCGGATCGGCTGTTCAAAGACGGTTTTAAAATAAAATAAAATTCCTTTTTTTTTTGTTGACAATTACGAAACAGTGTCCATCATGCATGTCGCGTTCATCATACATAATTCAATATTCAAGTCCTGACGAATAAATTAAAACATAAAGAAAAAAATTTACTCATTTTTATATTAAATATCAAAATAAATGATAACACCTAATTTTATTTGAACAAAAAAAATTTTTTTTTGACTAAAAACAATAGCAGTCTCAAGTTATTGTTTGGTTTAAGGGTATTTCAGTACATTTTTATGATTTTTATGAAATTAGCATCCAATATGTTGGAAAACGTTTGGTACAATTTTAAGACTTTTAAAATGATATTTTATAATTTTTTAGTTCGTATGCCTTTAAAAAGTAATGATCAATATCTAAATGTATCTTGGAGTCTTTAATTACTGTAAAAAAATTATTAGAAAGTAAAGAAATTTGATTCAAATCATTTTTGGACAATATATGGCTTATAAATATCTTATTATTGAAATCCAGTGAATTTTGTTTCATGAATAATAGGAGAAGATAAATACACTATAAATATATACAATATGCAAATAAAAAAAACTTATTGTTTTTATGTAATAATATAAAAATAATCTAATTTAATTAACCGAATTTTTAAAAAAATTTTTTATTGCATTAAAAAAATTAGGTCCTGTTTATGTACGCTGAAATGCTGAAGAAAAAGTGGAATTTTTTAACCCTCTGCAATTATGCAAAGTCAAAAGAAGCTTCTAATAGGCGAATGTAGTATCTCCGCCATTTTGCAGAAAACCGCAACTCTCTCTCTCCGTGCTTGCAATGAAGAAATACGAAATTTCTGTTCTTAAACGCCACTTTTTATTGAATAATATTTTAATATATTCTTGAAGATATTCACTATTTATACTTTTAATTTTTTTTCACTGAAAAAGCATATTTCATTTTGAAAAAAATTGTAAACATATTATTTATTATTGGAAAACAAGCCATGGAACAAGGAAAACAAGTCTGTTGATATATTTTCTGATTGAATATTTTACAACTCTGGTATTTGCGCAGAATCTTCCATAAATTTTCATATAATGCATTAACTCATACTTCTAACGTAATGCTTACCAATCTTAGCATTTAATGGAAAATCAACAGGTTGTCCTTTAGTAATATTAGAATTCCTGAACGACGCACATTTAGAACGTTTGTTCGGTTTTGGTGGAAGTTGATGCCAAAAAACAGTAGGGATTGCTGTTTGTTTCAAAAGACGCCTGTTATCGGCTCTGCGATTCTCAAATTGATCCTCCGTAAAATGTACCTATTTATAGAGATACAATAATGGTTTGGAAATATTAAAAAAATAATACTAAATAAACATCGAATTTATTATTTTAATAAAATTATTAGCAGGAAATATTTCATGCTGATTTTCAAAAATGAAGGTGATTACAAAATTAAAATGTTGAAAAAAACTTCTCTATAAAGTATAAGTAAATACTAATATCAAATACAAGTACATGCACAGCTAAGTTGAAAGGAAAAAAAACACAATGCTGAGAAAAACACAAGTATCACAAAACACAATACCTTTAATATACAGCCTATAATATAATGTGTTATTTAATGTAAAAGTAATGTGTAACTCATGTATGCATTCGAAAAACAATTTGGAAAAATATTTAGTATTAAAATATACTGTATGTAGTACCTAATAAATATTTTGAATACTGCATCTATTGTTCTGAACAACTTTTGCAGTAAAATAATTTTTTAAAACCATAACGAAAAATTAAGATTAATATGTATTGTGGAGAACTGCAGTTAAACTATTAGATATAATTAATAACTTTAGTTATTTTAAAACTAAGACATGAGTTAAACAGTCAATAATTGGTAAATGAGAGTTTTGAAACGTTGGATAACAAAATAGATGAGTTCAGGTTTGTTCAATAAATAATAAATATTTCATTAAAAAATCCTATTCAAATTCTGAGTGTCACAAAATTTTACAATATATAAAATATGTAAAATAATAAAGTATAAAGAAACTAAGAGTTTAAATAAGAATTACATCACTTTATTAAAACACAGCCATTTGAAATTTATTCAGCTGAAAAAAGATTTAATATGATACACTAGTTTACTTTTAATTCAGGCTACAAAAACTTAACTATTTAAATGCTTTTTAAAAAATTTCTTTCCGGAAAATTTAATTATTTACAATTGCGCGTTTCATATGTAGAAAAAAAAATTTATATATATATATATTTCGCTTACACGGCGACAAAAAAAAAGCCTCATTACAACTCCCCGAATGGCAACGCTAGAAAATCGACCAATGATTGCTGCTAAAAATGTCACATGCCAAATCTAGTGAGGTCGCTCAATATATAGCACTTTTAAAAACGGAAACTGAAATAACCAGAGAGAGCATTCTCACAAAATATGATCTCTTCCGAAATTCACCTTATCAGCTGCGGCAATCTCATACTATTAAGCTAGGCAGAAGTGAGTAGTCTTTGTCGATAGATCTCTATTTTAGTATTTTGTCGAAAGCGCTTTTTTTCACGAATTTATATATTACGAATT